ATGTAGACTTTCTAAGTACCCTCGCTATTGGCCATCCGGGCATCCGGGGTAGACTTTCTAAGTACCAGTGTCCTGCAAAGATGACAGGGTTTGCGATTAGAATAAGGGACAACAGGATCAGCAGTAAGCATGTATACCCGTTCGGCTTACTCCATATTTGGTTTGTTCGGCTTCTTTTTTCAGCGGGAACAGTGTTTTTCTCTCACAACAATTCAAGTTAGAACAGTGTTTTTCAGCCAATTTCAGCCAAGTTTCAGACCAGCGAACAGGGCGATCCTTGCTTATTGTCACTCGACTACATAAGGTCATTGTAATCAGTCACAATTAAGTGTTTTATTTTAAAATGAAACAAGTATCCCTGTTCTATGACATTGCCCCTCCATGCGTCCAACCCACAAAGTGTTGTAACCTTAACATTTGATTTTGTATTTTTGTAATCCACAAAAATTGTCCTTTGATGTACTGCTGGTGGAACTTAACCCCTTTTTTTCATATTAGAACTGCTCCGGTGCTCCTCTAAAAATCTTTGTAATCTTAAAGCCCAAGCAGTTAACGCGGTTAGGGGTAAATACGGGGTAAACTTGAGATTTTGCATGGCTGCATGCGTGGATGCCAAAAAATATCTCCTAATCACGCAACTCTCGAGGTTTTGCATCTGTTAATCATGCGGAATAGTATATGGCGTGGCTATTTCACGGCTTCACGCAACAAATATCTCATATTTTTTTATCTAGAAACTAGAAAAGCAAACAAGAAATAGATTTAAGTGAAACAAAACACATGAGGAAGATTGATAGACATGTAAGGGATTTCAATTTCGGTTTTTTATTTTTTTTTTTCACCCTTGAAATCACTAAAATTTGTAAAATTTCATCATTTTATAGACCCAAGAAATATGGTTTTCCTAAAATTTCTAGATCTAAACAAAATGAGATTTTTAGAAGAATATGCAACATAAATAATACAAATATGAGTAAGAATTATATATACACAATAAAGCATGTAAGGAAAATAGACCTTAGACCCATTTACTTTAGATTTTAGTGTTTGATGACCAACACAATCAAATTGGACTAATGAATTTGCAAGTAATTATTTTGTAGTTCAATAGGGTGCAAGACGTGACTTGGACGAAGACGACACGATGATTTCACGAACAACACCTTAAGCAAGACCCTAAAAGCACAAGAGATGATCTAAGATATCAAATAAAGTCCAAGCACGAAGATAGGAAACAAGTCAGACGCAAGATCGTGAAGAAACGAGCTTGACAGAGGTGACCGGACGCGGCCCTTATAGCGATCAGACGCGTCCGATCAAGATGCTCGGCAACAGCAGGCGTCAGCAGCAGCGACCGGACGCTGAGGACTAAAAGTGACCGAACGCGACAATGGCATTGTTCATCATCCCAGCAACACATTCAGCACAAACCGGACGCTGGCGGATAATCGACCGGACGCAGGAACTGCAGCGTCCGATCGAGTCCAGAGAGGTTCCAGAGCGGCAACAGCGCGACCGGACGCGTCCGATCAATAGTTACCGGACTCGGCAGTGCGTCCAATCAACGTACGCGATCCAACGGTCAGGACGACCGGACGCGTCTGGTCAAGACGACAGCAACGTCCGGTCAGTAGCAGAAAGCTAGAGTTTCGCCCCCAACGACTACTTTCTCGGTGGGGCTTATAAATAGACCCCCCCCCCGGCCAGTTGAGAAGTGGAGAGCTAAGAAAACATATTAAGGTGTTCATACACTATTTTAGTGATCTCCACTTGCATAGTGCTTAGTGATTCATTAGATGATTAGCGAAGGTGTTTTGCGAGGTGCTTAGGTTGATTAGACCACCGCTTATGCGCTTGCTCTAGGTTTAGGCCTAGTGTTTAGTGAGGTTTGCATACCTCTTACCACTCGGTGCTTGCGGGCACCATTGTTGTACATCGGATGGGCTTGTAGTCTTGCGAGATCACACCAACCGCGTTTGTGGTGTGGCCGCCACCGTGTACCGGAGGGAACAAGGCCCGCGGCGTTTCGGCCGGAAGCTTGATAGTGAAGACGGCGGGGAGCGGTCCTGGGAGAGGCTTGCTAGAAGACACACCGGAGACCCACTTGCGCGTGGGGAAGGCCCGGAGCTATCCACGGAGTTACCCAAGCGGGAGCTTGGCCCTTGCGAGGGATTCCTTGCGAGGGGCTCCAACGAGGACTAGGGGGAAGCTTGCGTGCTTCTTGATACATCAGTAAAAATACTAGAGTCATCGACAGGAGTTTGCATATCTCTACCTTACTCTTTAACTTCCGCATTTACATTATTTGCATAACTTATTTTACGGTAGAGATAGCAATACACTAGCAAAATCGTAGTTGCACATTTAGATAGTTTATCTTTTTATATAGGTTTTGCTAAAGTTAAAAAAAACATAGTTAGAAGTAGAGTTTTAAGTTGCCTAATTCACCCCCCTCTTAGATGTCACGGTCCCTTTCAAAGCACATGTACTAAAAGTAATGTGAAATTTTGGAATTTTTCGCCACCTCCGAAATTCAGAAATTTTGGGCAAAATTTTGAACCCAAGGCATGCTAGCATTTAATGAAACAGTATACTCTGCCAATTGGTATATTGTACATTGTACCAGTTTCTTATTCATAATATTAGTATAGTACTAAATCCGTTTTAAATTATAGTCCGTTTAACTTTTTTATCCTAAGTTTGATCACTCGTCTTATTTAAAAATTTATGCAAAATATCACTTCTTTTGTTTTGGTTCGCTTTATTAACAAAAGTTCTTAAAAATAATTTAAGTTTGACTATGTTTGTATTTTTTTTTAATAAGACGGTAGTTAAATTTAGGATCAGAAAAGTCAAACCAACTATAATTTGAAAGTATTTAACAAACGCTCAGATGGGATCCTGACAAAAATAGTGGGTCGCAGATTTGCATGCACGCATGCATGCAGAACGACCCAGAGTTGGATAAGAATGAATGAAACAATTGTCTACTGACGAATCCACCACTAACCACATTAACTACTTTTGCTTTGAGATTCACAAAGTTCTTTAGTTAGGGAGTACCGGAGCAGAACTCTTTTCATGTGTACACGTGTATATATAGGACATGATCGATGCCGCTACGATGGGCACGTACAACAAAACGCTCCCAACATCCCTGTTTATACATTGGCAACATACGGATATCCTAGTTCCACTAAACCCTGCAAAATTTGCAGAATTAACTTGCACTCCCCCAAGCTTCCCACATTTAGAAATTAGAACCTTGACTTAACATGCACCATTCTCTAGTCCAGATGCCCCGCATCCACAAGACATCCTAAATAGTTCAAAACTCGATTCTTCCCATATTCAACCACAATTAAGCTTATCAGTCTGGCTTATCAGACATAATATAGTATTTTTCTCTCATAACAAATCAGCGAGCGGTCTTTTCAGCTTAGCCTTTTAGCGAAGCGAACAGGGCCGTCACGTTCGCTGTCAATCTCAAGACATGCATATGAATTCGGGCACTATCATAGCCTGCTTCGAGATACAGTGTTCGGCAAGAGAAGTCGTTTCTTAATTAGTGAGGGCACAAAATCCCTTTGGTCTCAACAAGGACCGAGGGACATGTATCAAGATGACACTTTTTTTTCTCGAATACGCAAGAAAATTGCGTATCATTTTCATCAAGGAGGATGGAGTTATAATTACAAGATGCCTTGCGGCTGGAGCAGAACATCAGAAGCGATTACATGAAAGTTGAACAATCAGATGCTTAGCTAAGCGCTGGTCCTAGTTTCCTGGCGCTAAGCTAGCCAACCCGCGTTGGCACCTGCCTCAATCCAGCGCTGAGCCTCTGCATGTATGATCTGGATGTGGTCGAATGCCGTGCTTGCAGCTTCTCTGAAGCACCGGGCATTCCTTTCTTTCCAGACGTACCAAGAGACCAACGCGAAGAGGGAGTCCATTCCGGCCTTCTGCTCGCCGTTCCTTGTTGAGCGCAGCTGCCTCCACCACCAACAAGTGATGGTTGATTGCTTCTGCTGTGGAAGGTTTTGTCCGAGCGCTTGGCAGACATAGAACCAGACCTCCCGGGGTATCAAGATGACACTTAACTTTTAACTATAGTTTCAATATCTGCCTTTTTGCTGCCTCATGACAGTCTGAAGTATCTGTTTTCTATTTTAAAATGGCATAAAACTATGATCATTATCGTTTTCATGAGCATTAGTGGTTGGACTGCCAGATGTTCACATGTTTCATGTTTTTAATTCGAGACTGTCCCAAAGGAGGCATAGCCAAATACCAAATAGCGATATCAACGAATATCCTAAAAATTCACCAAACAAGGACAAATAACCAACTCAATATATATTTCCATGATGAAAGAAACCAAAATTAAAATTGATGCCCAAGCAAAGAAAATGTTAGAAGTTTTCTACTGTAATGCACTGCACACTGCAGAAAGATTGAACTTTGGGGGATCCGTTTATAGACCTTAACGGAACAGCCAATCCAATATGTTTTCACTTAGTTCGGATCATTAACCAAAACCAAAAATGAAATAATTGGAAATTCTATAAGGCTATAAGGATACATTCATTTCCCTGTTTTCGTACAACAAAGAGGAATAAGGGAGTTCACTGAGGAGGAATTTAAAGGTGGAAGAGTAACTAATTGACATAAAAGAGGGAGGTTATGCAAGAGTAAGAGCTGTATTCACCAAAAAAGCAAATCAAATTCCAACTGACGGCAGCGAGGCCTTGGAATAAATATACTAAAATAGTGGTACTGAATTCATGCCGCAAAACTAGGTGTTCTTTTACAAGGATAAAGTAAATGCATCCAGATATGAGATATCTATAGCTAATTTCATTTCAGCACACAAAGGAAGAACTAATTTCATTTCAGCACACAAAGGCAGTATCTGTTGCAAGCATTGGTGTGCACCAAGGAACTGCACAATAGTTCGGCAAGAGGTTGTTCAAAGTACAGGCAGAGAAGACCTGGACCAACTATCTTTGCCTTTGCTTTTCAGTATCCCTAGCATGCTGCTGCGAATGCACCTCATCTTCATGAGGCATTTTCCCAGCACAAGCAGTAGCATAAGCATCTGCAAGCCCTGCAATACTCTTGTTGTAAGGATCAATAAACTTCTGGACAAATCTCTTCTCAATTAAACAAACAGTATTATAAAAGTCAATGTCTTCCTTCACAAGCCCCTTCGCCTTCAGAATCTTGATGAAATAATGCCTGGGCATCAGCCGCCTCTACATGCTATAGCCGAGTATTGCTGGCCTATGCAAGATGTACTGAAGCTTCAACCCAACATCCACCTTCAGAAACTTCACTGTGCGACTCAGCTTGCCTTCTGATATCCTCATAATTTGGGGTGACTTGCACACCATAAGGGCCAGCTCCGCCTCGGAGCATCCAAGAGTCGCCTTCATGACATCCATTTTTGCACCAATGGAGTTGGGACCAACGCAACAGACAGCCCACAGGGCCATCTTGAACATCCCTGTATTGCGTGGCACACCAAGCTTCTCAGCACATGCCACCCTTTCCCTGACATCCTCGGGCTTCATGCATATCAGCATTGCGAACTCTGGAACATTAGAGGCAGTTAGACCGCACTACTGTAGGAATGCTATGTTAGGCTTGACCACATCCTCAAGGTTTCGACCGAGGAGGATCGGATTGATCTTGATGGCGGAGTGCAGCAGATCGAAGCAACCCATGAAGGAGAGATAGAACTAGAGGCGGGGAATCATTTTGGGAGCGACGAAGATGTTGGGGACGATGGCAATGAGGTGGGAGATTTGGGGAGGGGATAGCCCAATGCCGATGAGCTGAGCAAAGCGAGGGGTTAGGGTTTTGTCCACCTTGTAGCAGAGGAGACGCGGGTACCTGGCGATTCCGGCGGCGATGTCGTCTTTGGCGAGGCCGACGCCTGTGAGAAAGGCGAGGGCGGCGTCGGGTTTGACTGGAGACTTGAGGTGGGTGAGCCCCTGCCCGATTGCGCTGGGGTGAGCCCGCAGGTGGTGACCAGGTATTCCTCAGCGACGAATCGGGCGGGAGAAGTGGCGGTAGAGAAGAGGCAGTGGTGGCGAGGGAATGCCGCGCGGATGGAGGACAGGAGATGATGTCGAAGGTGCAACATCGCGACGGAACGCTGCCTCACCGGGGAAGAGACGCGCGGACGGCGGGAGAGGTTTTGTCGGCCGGGCAAGTTGGTTTAGAGGGAGGTCATGGTGACAGAGTTAGAGAGGTTTTGTCGGGATGTCCAAATTGGCGGTGGATGCAAGGTTCAGGGGTGAAGAGGGAGGTCATGGTGGCGGCGGCGGCGGCGGCAAGGAGGGAGAGGGGGAGAGGAAAAAAGGCTTGCTTTTTTCGCCTTTGTCCCAAGCTACCGCTGGTGGGGCCGTGAACGCAAACTCTCGGTCCACTGCGCGCGGTTTTGTCCCGGCGTGAAGCCCATCCCCATCCTCGGTTGCCTCCAACCTCCATGATGAACCTCCCTTCCGGCTCCGCCATCTCCGCCGCCTTCTCGCGGCCCGCCCTTGCCAACCCTCGCCGCCACACACTCCCCAATCCGCCCTCCTACCGACCGGCCGCACCCCACCCGAATCCTGCCGCCGCATGGGTTCCATCTAGCCAATCTCCCAGTCTGGCGGCTCTTCTCCGAGCACGCCATCCTCCCCACTCACCTCCGGGGACGAAGCGCCGCCACGCTCTCGATAGGATCTATGATGCCGTGATTAAGACGGGCGGAATCCAACGAGGGCACGGAGGCGCTTTTCGACACGCGTTACGGCGAAGCCGACGACTACCCGCCGCTCGCCGCCGACGTCTTTGCACCGCCTCCGCTATGAGAGGAGAAGTGGCGTTCGGTTCTTCGCTGGGCGCCCCACAGGGGCAGGTACAGCCCACGAACCGGCGACTTACAACGACATCATCGACATTCTCTCCAAGACGCGGTACAAAGCCGCCGCCGATTCGGTGTCCTCTCGCAACGTGCTCGATCACATGAAGCGCCATGGCACGAGGTCGGTGCGGTTGAGGACTCGCTGGAGATCTAACGCGCTAGGCTACACGGAGAAGCATCTCACGCACATGAGGAAGCTGGCCAAGAAGCGGCGGGTTCGGATGCGCGTCGTTGCCGGAGACCGACGCGCTCAACGTTCTGGCTGGACGCGTTTCGCAAGTGTGGGATGGTCAAGGAAGCAGAGGCGTGTGTTCGCCGCCGCGTGAAGAGGAGGTTGCCGGTAATGCGAGACATACAAGATATCCTGTTCTTTGGGTGGTGCCGGGCGAGGGACCCCAAGAAGGCCATGAAGGTGCTCGAGAAATGATTCGAGATGAAGCACACCGGAGAGTTTCACCTACATTGCAGCCATCGAATCTTTTTGCAGTCTTTGGATTGGTGTCGAGGCAAGGGAGCTGTTTGAGTTCATGAGGACCGAGGGTCGATGATATCATCACCCACAGCCCAAGACGTATTCGATTATGATTGTTGCGTTAGCAAAGGCTGACCGGATGGAGGAGTGTTTTGAAGCGCTTTCGAGATATGAGAAGTTGTGGCTGATGCACGATGTGACGACTTATAAAGATTTGATTGAAGGGATGTGCTTGGTGGGTAAACTGGATGTTGCTTATCGTGTGTTGGAGGAGATGGGGAGGGCTGGATTTCTCCCGACATTGTGACGCATACAATTGCTTTCTTAATGTGCTTTGTAGTCTTGAAAGGTGATGATGCACTTGAACTCTGTGAGAGGATGATAGAGGCGCATTGTGAGCCCAGTGTTCATACCTATAATATGCTGATGGTGATGTTCTTCGAGATGGGAGAGGCACATAGAGCATTAGATATATGGCTTGAGATGGACACAAGAGGATGTCAACGTGCTATTGATACCTACGAGATAATGATCGATGGTCTCTTTGATCGCGGAAGAACAGAACATGCAACTGCTCTTCTAGATGAGGTTATAAACCGTGACATGAAACTTTCATACAAGAAGTTTGATGCTAGAATGCTGAGGTTATCAGCTGTAGGCGACCTTGGCGCGATATATCGGTTGTCAGAGCATATGAGGAGATTTTACAATGTTGCGATGTCGAGACGATTTGCAATCACTCAGAAGAAGAAGAGCATAGGCCTGAGAAGGAAATGAGTGCCGTGGCAATTCCTAACTAGTAAATAGGTTCATGGCTACAGCAATCAATGACTTACTGGTTACTACTGCCGAACCAAGAAATTTAGCACACCACTAATATCTGTGTAACACAGCCCAGATTCGACCACTTGTGCGAGTAGGAAGATGGATAGTCGTTTTATACTCTCCAGCTTTCCTCGTGATGTGTAGGTAACAGGTATCGAGTATTTAGTAACTTGATTTTTAATTATTTAGTGATCCTAGATGCACATAGTTTCGGACTGAAACGGTGAAACCGTACATTATGCTTCATAGAGCTCAACTAAAGTTCAGGTTGGTGGTACTTCCATACTTGCAGGTGACGGCTACTGGTTATCAACAGACATCTCGGGGCATCGGGCGAAAGCCGCCAAAGGCATATGACCCGCATTGGCTTTGTCTCTCTCTCCTGTCCCTGGTCCTTGTTCAGCTGCTGTAACCTAGGGGTGTTTAGTTAGTCAAGCATTAAATATATAAATAAAAAATAAAACTAATTATACAGTTTTCGTTTAAATTTGTGAATTATTATCTTTTAAACTAATCGACTATAATTGTGCAATTACTTTTTAATTTCATCTATACAAAAATACTCATGAATCATATCTTAAGTTTGATGTAATGAGAAATCTTCTTTTTATATAATGCACTTTTCAAAAGTTTGGAGAAGCTAAACAAGATCTAGTACTAAGCTATCAAGGTCTCAAACTCAAAAGGCTGTGAGCCTGTGAGGTAGACCTAGGACGGCCATAGCTGTGTACCCTTTGCACCAGCTGAGAACCTGGAACGCACCATGCCAAGAACACCTGGAATTGAGAGCTTCGGATCATCGGATGCCATCAAGCGAGCTCAGGTGAAATTCTCTGAAGTCGAGACCTCATGGCAGGGCCCAGCGGAGCGCTTCGGGGTTCGCTGGTTTTCATGAGTCCCGAGGTAAAATATGGCTGGCTCGGACGGAAAAGATCTCTCTCCTGGTTCCTGTCCGGCCGTCCCATGCCATGCATGATTCTCTGCGTCAAGCAGCTGTCTGAAATCCGCGTATTTTTTACTGCTCGTATATTTTCTTTTGGCAACCTCTGTCTTTGCCATAAGATAAGAATCTGTATGCCGAGCGATGCGACATGGAATTTCACAGGAACGGCATAAAATGGTTAGGAATTTTATAGAAGAATAAATTCGTTTTTACAGGAAAAGTGTAGGAAATAGAAAAAAAAAACTCTTGCATTCCAAAGTGGTTCTATGGCATTTCTATTTTTGGTAGGACATTTCGTTTCATGGACTCCCTCAGCTAGAAATGTAAAAGCTTTTCGTTAGAACAAGCTTTTGTCCTTTTGACCAATAAAGATCTTACTGGTATGTAGTAGCTTTCATGACATGAAATTGATGTTATTAGATTCATATTTTGAAGCTGTTAATGATTTATGTCTTGTATAAAACATAATATGCCATTAGAATAACTGTTAGTCAAAGGAATAAAATACAGTACGCCGTACTTTTATTTTTTCAGATGGAGTATATTTTCTGCTGTAACCACAAACAAAAGAAAAGAAAAAGAAAAGACATATCGAGCGCTCTAGAGAAGGAAACATAATCAAGAAACACTTCTGTGTGGTTCACTTTTAGATGAAACAAGCAAGTAAAAAAAGACCCCAAACTAGGCAAACTAGGTGACTAGTGATTTTTATTAAGAAGAAAATATTCACCTATAAATTTAAGTAGAAGGGACTTAGAATCTTAGTGGTTGGTGCAGCTAGACTCACTTCATGAATCAGGCAACTCAAACGAATTAAGAGAAAAGAATGGCCGCTGCTAGTGCTAAATTCGACCAAGGCCTTATTTAGATTGTAAATTTTTGTAATCTGGACACTGTAGCATGTTTCGTTTATATTTGATAAACTTTGTCCGATCATGGACTAACTAGGCTCAAAAGATTCGTCTCGTGATTTACAACCAAACTATGTAATTAGTTTTTTTTTACCTACATTTAATGCTCCATACATACGTTTAAAAATTGATGTAATAGAGAGAGTGAAAAAATTTAAAATTTTGAGGCAATCTAAACGAGGCCTAATCTTATGTCTCCGGCTTTGAGTGAGCAACGGACGGCGGTGCAGAGTCCACACGCACACGCACACGCACACGCACACGCACACGCTCAGCTCAAAAAAGCGTTGGCGTGACCTGTGTACGTGTACCTGACACGTTTGGTGCGACTGCGAGCCCCGGCCGGAGCCTCCGCCCGGCCAACCGTCTCGTGCCTCGTGGTCGTGGCCAGCATGGACGCACAGGTGCCGCACAGGAGTCAGGAGTAAAGCGAGCTAGAGCTCGCGGTGTGGCTGAACAGTGGCGGCCCGGGGCCCGGGTGCTCCGCATGATTGAGCACTCAACAGTGGCGCGTTGCATGACAGGAGAAGCCATGCTCTGCAATAGTGCCTCACCTGTCTGTCACTGTGTCTTTCAGCAGTTGGCCGTACGAGTAAAGACTCGAGACCCGGTTTTGAATGCTTCCTCCTCGGTCCAAAAGGACGTAGTTTTGGGCTGGGGACCTGTTAATTCTTTAAACAATCAATTAACTTTATAAAAATAATGTCAATATTTATGTCTTTAGATAGATTTTACTATAAAAATATATTTTATAATCAATCTTATCCGTTCTAGTTTTTTTTACTGCCGTATCTAGATATATATTTCTAGATGTATAATATAATAAAATAAAAGTTATGTATCTAGAAATATTGAACGGCACATAATTTAAATTGAAAGAGTAATATTTATCCAATATCATAAATGTTCGTACTTTTTTTATAGATTTGCTGATTATATTTAAAATTGTTTGATTCTCGGGAAACAAGAATTATATTTCTTTTAGGGTGAGAAGGGGTATGTATCTGCTCGTGTGTGTCATGTGGCTCTGAAAATTCTGAATTCCCAAACGGGGAAACGGCCATGGTCCATGGATATGCTTTTCTGTGTTGAAAATGGAATACATCGGTGGAGTAGTATTGCTAAGCGGTTCTGAAAAAAAAAGGATAATTAGATCTATACCATTACAAATATCGTGTTTTCGACCGATAAAAAAATAGCGTGTTTTCGAAATACGCTACTATTATTCATCATATAGGAACAATGCCATTATAATTTAGTGTCTATTTTAATCGTGCCATTTTACACGTTTCTAGCAAATAGCAACCCTAGACTCATGTGCAGGCGTATGTATCCCACATATTTTTTTCTATGGTAAAAAATACCCCATATATTCCATTCCTCTCCATCTCATCCCTTCGTCTGCTCAGGAAACCATCTCCTTCCTGCTTTCTTCTCATGGCTAAGCGACGGCCATGATCCCAACCATTACCGCTCTTTGTGGGTGGTTTCCTGCTACTTGTGAGCGCGTGGGGCAGCGAGGCATGGTAGAAACAAGGCTCGTGGAGTGGAGGCGGATGAGCTGGACGAGGCCGACGAGGTGCGAGGATATGATAGGCTTGATGGGATTGAATTTGTAGTGCACGAGGACGTAGGGGCAGGCGAGGTGGTAGATCTTATCGACCTTTAGGAGAATTGGTTCAAGGATGTCGTGGTGGATGAGTTTGAATTGCGGGTTGCTGAGGTGGGGGTGTAATGTTGTCCTTGTGGCCCATGAAGTTGTCGACGACGATGACGCTGTCATCGTGAGCGAGGAGCTTGAGGAGGCGCTGCCACGAGGGATTTTGCTGGCGGCGGCGGTAATGATATTGGTAGCGGAGGAGGGTTCGATGACAAAATGCGGGATGAGGTATATGTAGAGGAAGGAGAAGGATGAGGCTTAGGGGAAGCCAAAGAGGACGAATAAAATCAGCCCTGGGCGTTCGGGTTACCCGATTTTTTCGGGTCGGGTAATTCGGGTAATGGAAAACACTACGTGAAATCTTGAGTGCCTGAAAATTCAGGTTGGGGTATTCCTGAATTACCCGTTTACAATACATAAGGGAGAAAACAAGAAATCCGAAAGGGAGGAGCAGGATGCCTAAATCGGGGAAGGTCACTATCGAGCGGGAGCATCATTGGGGCGCGGCCACGCTCAGCCTCCTCCAGCGCCACACCACAGCCCACGGCACCACCGACCTTGCATCCACATCAATGAACTCGCCTCCCGTGTTGAATCAACGCCTCACACGTGCGCCGCCTTTGAGCTACTGCCATGCCTCATGGCCTGTGAATCAAGGGTTGGATCAAGAATTATATTGGGAAATCAAGGGTTGGATCAAGAATTAAATTGGGGATAAGGATTAAGGAGAAAGAAAGAGAGAGATTGGGGCTGCGGGAGGGGACCTGGTGCCTGGCGGGCGGAGGTGCCATGCGAGTGTGGCTCCTTCCGAGTCTACGAGGGTTAGCAAGGGGTCGGATGGAAGTGGAAGCTATTTGTTAGGCTGGGCCATACATATCTTATTTCTTGGGCTTTTATTTAAATCGGGTTGTTCGGGTACCGGAGATGCATACCCGAATTTCCCAAAATAAGTTTGGGTATCTAGATCTGTCACCCGAAGTAGGACCCGAATTTTTCGGTTCGGGTCTGGGTATTGGGTTCTGTGCCCAGTCTTAAATAAAAATGGCAATGTTTATATAGACAATAAATTATAATAATGTGGTTAAAAAAAGTTTGCTACAGCGCTAGCTAAACCCGTCGCTGCTAGTGCCATCAGTGAGGTAAGTTTATCTTAGACAACTGCTACACTATCTCGTCATAGTTTGACACACTTTTATCTTAGGCAAGTTTGATCAAGTTGGCAAGGGTTTGGTTGGCAATTAAATTTTAGCAAATTTCTTTTAGGCTCCACGTGTCATAGAGTGTGGCTTCAAATTTCGTAGCCACACTTGCGTAAGCTTAATTATGGCAATCTATGGCTATGTATGCTAGCAGTAGCTACTAATAGTGAAGAAAGGCCGGTGCTTGCTGCCGAACAGCACCGGCGGGATGGGCGTAATAAGTGACAAGAGTACTCCTTAATTACGAGCCTGACCCAGAGAAGAAAGGAACAAGCCCATGCTATCAGACGGCTTCGTCTCTCCCCGAGCGTAGCGTAATGGCGTATCCTCCTGTTCCTTTCTCGGACGTCGCCGGCCGCCGTTTGCGTCCGCTTTGATCTTCCGTTCGTTTCTCTCCAGACAGAGCGGAGAGGAGAGCCCAAACCGAAAGCAGCCAAACAGAAGGAGGCCGAGACCGCGAGAGCGAGCGAATAAAAAGGAGGGGGCTTTCTTTCGATCGCTGCCTGCCTGCGCTGCGCTGCGTCCCAGCACCAGCAGTCCCAGACTCCCAGTCCACCTTGCTCGCTCGCTCGCTCGCTCAGATCTAATCATTATTTAATCCTTTTTTTTCCAGTCTCACATGAGCACTCCCCACTCGTCCTCCACCTCCTCCGTCCCCCACCGCGCCTCCCCTCCCCAGATCCCTGCATCCCTAACCCTAGCTCCTACGGCGTCCTCTGCCTCGCCGTCCTCCTCCGCGTCCGGCATGCGGGACGCGGCGGAGGACGACTCCGACTCGCCGCCGTCGCAGATGTCGGAGGACGACCCCGGCGGAGAGGGCGGCGGCGGGGACAGGTGGGAGCCGGATCTGAGGGGCGGCAACGGCGGGGGCGGGAGGTGGGCGCCGCCGGACCAGGTGCTGGAGAACGTGCTCGAGACCGTGCTCGAGTTCCTCACCGCCGCGCGGGACCGCAACGCCGCCTCGCTCGTCTGCCGCTCCTGGTACCGCGCTGAGGCGCAGACGCGCCGCGAGCTCTTCATCGGCAACTGCTACGCCGTCTCGCCGCGACGCGCCGTCGAGCGCTTCGGAGGCCTGCGCGCCGTCGTGCTCAAGGGCAAGCCCCGCTTCGCGGACTTCAGCCTCGTGCCCTACGGCTGGGGCGCCTACGTCTCCCCCTGGGTGGCCGCGCTCGGGCCCGCGTACCCGCGCCTCGAGCGCATCTGCCTCAAGCGGATGACCGTCGCCGATGAAGACCTCGCACTCATCGCCAAGTCCTTCCCGTTCTTCAGGGAGCTCTCGCTCGTGTGCTGCGATGGCTTCAGCACGGTCGGGCTCGCCGTCATCGCCGAGCGCTGCCGGTACGTCGCCCTAGCACCCAGCTTTTGTATGTTTTGCTGCACACGGGCTGTGAATCTAAGCGGCCTTGCGGTATCCAGAGGAGTATTTTACCAGCTTTCCTCGCTTTCGGAGGGTATCATACTGATACTATGCCATTCGTGCATTTGTTCAATCCTAGCTGCACAACGCAATTCCGCCTTATTTAATGTGCGCGCGCCTAGCCCTTTACGCTTTTCAGTTTTATTGGTCCGGCCGTGCCATGGATTAGAATCTGATGTCGCCAACCTTTTATGGACGTATTGGTTGGTTTCTGATCGCTACACGCCTTCCTGTGAAATTTACCAGTAAATCGATTATTTATTGTGCTCGACTTTCTAATCACCGGATAGTGACACCTGCTACTGTCACAGCCGAAACTTGCCATGGCAAGTCCGCGGAATTCTGCTGCCAAAGTTCAATCTTATTACCCCTTAGGTCCTTGGCAGAACAGTCTCGTTAATTAATTGGTTACACTCAGGTTTGGGGTACTTCCAGTTGCACGCTGTCTGCTCTTCCTTATTGGGGAATAGGAGCACTAATAGCAGCATTTAAGTGTAGTACTGGTATCTCAAGCTCACGGTTGGTGCTTTTGGTTTTGTAGGCATCTTCGCGTGCTGGATCTGATTGAAGATTACCTTGAGGGTGAAGAGGACGGGCTGGTGGATTGGATCTCCAAGTTCTCAGAGTCCAACACCTCTCTGGAGTCACTTGTCTTCGACTGCGTCAGCGTCCCCTTCAACTTTGAGGCCCTGGAGGCACTTGTTGCACGCTCACCGGCTTTGCGCCGGTTGCGTGTCAACCACCATGTGTCAGTAGAGCAGCTGCGCCGTCTCATGGCAAGAGCACCCCAGCTCACGCACTTTGGAACTGGTGCATTCCGATCTGAGGGTGCCCCCGATGGGGGTTTGGCTGTGACTGAGCTTGCTACATCTTTTGCTGCAGCCAGGTCTCTCGTTTGTCTATCAGGTTTCCTGGAGGTCAATCCACAATATCTCCCAGCGATCTACCCTGTTTGTGCCAAGCTCACCTCACTAAACTTCAGCTTTGCAAACCTAACCGCTGCAGAACTCAAGCCAGTTATTCGCAACTGCACCAATCTTCGCACTTTCTGGGTGAGCCACCTACCAGATTTTCGTTGATGCATATACCGGTTTTTATGTGCGCTGACAACTAAGATATAGGCATTGATGTTCAATTTGTTATTCTAGGTCCTTGATACTGTGGATGATGAAGGCCTACGTGCTGTGGCTGATACATGCTCTGATCTCCGTGAGCTGAGAGTTTTTCCTTTGGATCCCTCTGAAGATTCTGAGGGTTCGGTCTCAGATGTTGGTCTTCAGGCAATCTCAGAAGGCTGCCGGAAGCTAGAATCAATCCTCTACTTTTGCCAGCGGATGACAAATGAAGCAGTAATTGCTATGTCGAAGAACTGTCCTGAGCTTGTAGTGTTCCGCCTCTGTATTATGGGCCGCCACCGCCCTGACCGGATCACTGGGGATCCCATGGATGAAGGTTTTGGCGCAATTGTGATGAACTGCAAGAAACTCACCAGGCTTTCAGTCTCTGGCCTGCTTACTGATAAAGCCTTTGCATACATTGGAAAATATGGGAAGCTAATAAAGACCCTGTCTGTTGCCTTTGCTGGGAATAGTGACATGTCCCTCCAATATGTATTCGAGGGATGCACTAAGTTGCAGAAGCTTGAGGTCAGAGATAGCCCTTTCAGTGACAGGGGGTTGCTCTCAGGAATGAACTACTTCTACAATATGAGGTTCTTATGGATGAACTCATGCAGGCTAACCATGAGGGGCTGTAAAGATGTAGCTCAGCAAATGCAAAATTTGGTGGTTGAAGTAATTAAGGACCACTCTGAAGATGAAGGGGAGGCTGAGATTGTTGACAAGTTGTACTTGTATCGGTCACTGGCAGGACCGAGGACTGACGCTCCACCATTTGTTACCCTCTTGTAGGACTGCTATTGGAAGGACAGCCCTGCTGTACCCACGAACATGTTTGTTGTATTATTCCTTATCAAGTTTTCAGAGCCAATGAGGGATGCTTCCTGCGGATGATTTTCAAGTTGCTGCAGGAGCACTCCATGTAAATCAAGTAAGAAGCTGCCGATTATTCTTTCACTTGATCTGGCATGGCCATCATACAGAGTTTGGGCAGTTGAGAAGCACATCCAGAGCGAGACATCTGATGGCCTCACGGCGCTAGTCTTACAGTATAGCAATGATGGGTAGTGACTGATTGCACAGGAACTGACTGCACGCTGACTCCAGTCAGCAGGCTTCGGATGGTTCTTGGCACTCTAGTCTCCAGCTACTTGTATCTTGCCATTTTCCGTTTCATTTTTCTGCTCAGACCAAGGAATGGAAGTGCTGCCTATGTCCGAAGCTTCAATGCTCCACCGGCCATTACTTATGTTTTAGATGATCCAAAACTCGATTCTGCTATTTTTTTCTCCCTTTTTTTTCATTGTTTTTAGCACTCATGAGTTATTTTTGTAGACGACCTGTAGACCATTATCCCTTTTCTTCGTCTCCACTCTCTGCTATTTTTAATCAAGAAGCTATTGGAGGAAATTTGGAATTTGATCGGCATTGCTTGGTTTTGCCCCCACTCTGGCTGTGCTTCTTGTCGACTTCACTGTTCCATTGCTTCCCATGATCATACTCCTATATGTCCTAGACCTCGACTGAGACAGCTCTATCGCTATAATAAACGCCCGTAGCCTGTGTGTTGAAATTGTCATCATAACGATAGGCCCTACCAATGATTTGCTCTGATAGTGGTCATCCTTGTTTCATGTAGAGCCTCATGACATCAACTGCCCAGTCTGCCCTGATGGCCGTCTGTTTTTATTCTGCTGCTTTTGCCCCCGGCGCCTTTCAGGATCCTGGAGGGGTCGTCATGGCTGATGCTGAGAAAGGTAAACAGTAGCAGTAGTTTTCTAACTGATAGTGGTGGTGGGAGTTGGAGTCCATTGCTGCATGCTGTTGTACACCCTGTTGAGCACCACCATCTTCTTCCATCTGCGTGCTAACCACTAACGTTGCGCTCCAAAACCAAACCCTAACCCTAACCCAGTCGTCACGAATAGTTAAACAAGGATGTGTTGTCTCTTTATCATGGACGAATTCGTTCTTTAGATCTCTGCTGTGCCTGTGCCATCCCGGCTGAGAGTGAGAGCGAGGCTGGCAAGCATGTGGTTTGTTTCCTGGGGTCACTGCACCTCGCATTTGTTTTCTCCAGGATCCAGTTCGATCTGCCCGGTTTCTTTTCTTTTATATCATCAGCTGCATCTGGGGCGATCCACCGATCTAGATTGGGGGTTTTCTCTGAGGATTTGAGATCCCTGGTTGGGCTTTATAGATCTCAGGTTCTTTTAAGGGTTTTCCGGTATGATACCACGCCTTGTTTATGCCGCGCATCGTGTCTGTCATTAAGAGGTTGTCGGCTTCCTCACGACGCCGATTAGCCTTGTTTTGTTTCGCTTGTGAGTGCTTTGGGAGAGGCATCTGGTTTGGGAGAATCGGGCTGCCCAAGATACCCTTTCTTTCTTGCCGGCATGAAGCAGCTCGTCACGAACTTGCCTAGAACCGGCTACAGATGCGAGATGCCGTGTATACGTGTGTGCCTAACCGGAAGGGAAGGAAGTTTGGTGCTTGGGATACTGTTAGCCTGTTTGGCAGTTTCCTGCTACAAGCAAGTCCCGCGATGTCTTGCTTTTGGCGGTTTGGCCGGCTAGATCGCCAAAATGGTGCAACGTGCTCTGGTTGCTCAGCTTGGGTGCCATTTGTCGTTGTCGACGTGCTACTTCGGTCTCAGATTTCGATTGGCGTCGGCCAATGAAGCTTCAGTAAATGCCGAGGATGTTTGGCTTGGCGCGGCGGCATGCCTGGGTTCTGCATAAATCGAACAGAATTAAGTTGCTGCAGAAAAAAAAAACTATTTTTTTACAGGTGCTAGTGTAATAGTAATTGTAATGACTCATTAGGTCAGTCAATCGGTACCGTTATTTGTTGGTTTTTGGGTAGGTCCAAATCGGATCAACGGTGTTTTCTCTCACAATAAAACCAAAGATCACCAAATTTAAACCAAATTTCGAAACCAACCATCGAACATGCCGAATGTATCTACAAATACAAATGAATTTAGCGTATCGTTTATGTGTCTTTTTTATAACAAAATCATCTCACACGGAAGGAACATAATGGTTGCTAGTTGCGTACGAACAACGGGAATCGGATAGAACCCTACCATGGCGATCGGAACGTACGACGTCATCGATTCACCACGGTGGCTAGCCTTCAGTGGACTGGATTTCCTGTGACACAGTCACACAGTAGAGAGTTGCATTCATCCGTACTTTAGTTGCAGTCATAAGTGCTTCCCTCTCCATCCCTATCGCGGGATGCCAATCGGCGCGATTATCTCGATAAGGCCGATGGGATTTCAGATAAATTTCGTAGGAAATGAGTGTTAATTAAGCAGAGCTAAGCCGTTACGCTGTGATTTGACTAGTCGGGGCCTCCGAAAGAGCACTTCGCAGATATGTACCAATCCATACATATCATCCAGAAATCTTCAACTTTTCGAAGCACCGGTTCGTCTGAACTCAGCGGTCATTTCGTTGGTCCTGTCAACTATATCCCCTATCTTCGATATAGGAGTATTGTACAGTCAGCCTTGCGACGTAACCTCAAGATTACATAAACACAAACGACGACCTTTTTTTCTTGTCCACGTGAAATGAAATGAAACCCTTATCCAGAATTCTCTCCGGCTACTTTTCACTCTCCCAAGTCTCAACCCGCGATCAGTCAGTCAATCAACAACCAGACGGTAGGAAAACAGTGTAGGGCACGATCATTTTGTTGGTAAACCCTTTAAAGGTCTACCTGTTACAAGCCAAAAAATAATCTTGGCTTCACCCTTGTTCGTCACCTTATCGATGTCAAATCTCGACACCTCACACACAGGGGTGGCCATGATACTCACACGGCTCGCGGCTGAATGCCGCAAAGCCTGAAAAACGTAGCAGCTCGCTGTCTTTCGCCTAGCAGTAGCATCTACCGAGAAAGACGACGAAAAAGAAAATACAGTGAGATCTTGGAACGGGACGAGCTCCCTCACCACGATAAAGGCCCATGCCACAAGCGAAGAAGCTGCCCACGTCCCAATCGCAATCGGCCACGCATCACTGCTCGCCGCTCACCAACGACAAAATTTCGCGCCCGAGTCTCGCAAGATCTCAGTGGCTTTTGACGAATTCTGAGGTTGATCTGTGGCTTTCAGAATTGTGATTGCAGCGTCGAATTTCCGGCGGCGTGGCGACGGTCGTTGGATCGGCGCTTGTCGCGTTCAGATCGGAGGACCACGATTTTGCCAGGAGAAAAATGTTTTTCTTCTTGTTGTTGTTGGTGTTTTACATGTACTTGAGTAGTGGCGATGCTGAAATCAGTCAACATCTGGTACAGTGTCGATCGATCCTATGCAATTCCTGTCCACTCCTTTGAAAAGCTTGTTTTGAAAGTGGCGGGATGAATATGCACAGTACAGTATAGCTAGTGTGATATATAGCTGGCTCTGATTGGCGCCACCGTTGCTCCATCAGAGGTCGGAACAGTCAATCATGTGAAAAATATCTCGTGGTCGTGGCGCCAAAGGAGACGATTTATTGTTGGGAAAACAGGCTTACTGTGTGTGTGTGATAAAAAAAGTTCAGGGTGGTTGATGTACGCAAATACGATAATGCTCCAATTAAGACGCCCGGATCGATGGGCGCCTCACTCTGCTCACTCCCACATCCAATCCCTTGTTTCCTCCTCCCTTCCGCGCTCGCGCCCCGCCCCACCCCGACGCGCGGCCATGGCTGCCTCCCTAGCCGGCGGTGGCACCCTCCCCCACCCAGGTGTCCTCATCCACCGGGAGCGCCCAAAGCTCGTGGATCCGGTGGCCTTCTCCCCCACCCCGGTGAGATCCATAGAGGTGGCGCGGCAGTATTGCAGGGAGTGGGCGGCCCCTCACCCTAGTGCGGCGCCCTCCCCAACCTCGGCGGCGCTGAGCCAAGCCCGGTGCTGGTGGCGCTGGTGCTCGCCCGCAGGCGCTCGCCGCCGTCTCCGACCCCGACGATCGGATTCGACCGGCTAAGCCTTCCCCTCCCCTATGTTGCATATGTATGTTTCAAGTGTTTTAGACGTTTCAGATGTATGTTGCAATTGTTTCATATGGATGTTGCAAGTAGATCGGGGATGTTGCACATGTTGCATATGTTGTGATTATTTCAAAGACATGTTGCAAGCGTATGTTTTGAGTGTTTCAGATGTTTCAGAGGTGTGTTTTATCTGTGTTTTCCGGACGCATTTTGCAGGTGTATTTATCTGGATGTTGCATATGTTTCACACATATGTTGTATGTGTTTTATTTGGATGTAGCATATGATTGCAATGGTTTTCAAGTGTTTTAAGTTTTTTTTCAAGTGATTCAGAAGCATGTTCCGAGTGTTTCAATTGTCTTCAGACGTATGTTTCAATTGTTGTATTTGGATGTTTCAAAAATAGATCTGGTGTTGCATCTCTCCTCCCCACCTTCTGCTGCATTGTCTTGTGTGTCCTCCTTCCGGCGCCGGCAGGACATTCATACAATGCCGCGGCCGGGTCCTTCCGAATCGGAGGCGCCACGCCCTTCCCCCTCTTGTCGCTCGGGCAGCATGGGCCCCGCGTGGAGCGCGTGAAACGGAGTGCAGCGTGTGGCGTCCATCCGGACGTCCGGGCACTAGCACTGCCGACACAAATATGTTCACGAAGAATTATTTGTTTTGTTTGTGGTCTGGTTGTTGTTTGCAGCACGTAAAGAGAAGCTTCCTTCCTTCCTCGCGGAAAAGTGGTAGGGAGAAGAAACAAAAACTGGCAGTGGAATTAGGTACTCCCGTCCTAACGGTGCTATTCATTCCATCACAATTCACATGGGCGGTAGACTTGTAACATGGCAGTTGGCAGCAGATGAGGACAGAGCAAGCCACAGCGTTGATGGCACGAGGGGCTGCTGCCTTTTGACGATTGGAAAGCCAAGTCATCAGTCATCAGGCAGGCAGGCATGGGAGGTAATCGCTGGCGCGCACCGATGCCTGCCCTTCGGCCACGCACGACACGTTACACACGTACTACACCGCGCAGCGGCAGGGCAGGAGCGCGGCGCACGTTGCCGCCGCGGCCCGGTGACTCTGACCCGTCCCGCGATGGTGGCCGAGGCGGCCCTGGTCACTGTCGATCGGTTCATTTCACCGCTAGGGACCCGACCCGTCCGAGCCCCCCCGGCGCTGTGGCCGTGGCCCCGTCCGCCGTCCGTCTCCTCGTGCGCGAGCGAGCCGGCAGGGGGACGACGCGTAGAAACGCCGCGACCCTGGCGTCCACGAGTCGTCGAGGAGGCCGCGGCCCGCGGGGACCTGCCTGCCTGCCTGTGCCTGAGGTTGCGGCGGCGACCGAGCGATCACCGAATCCGGGGCGCGATCTTTGGACGTGCCCGGCGCACGTACGCGGCCCCTGGTTCGTGTGCCGGTTTTTTCCACGCCCTTCTTTAATTTCCATGGCTTTTTGCTTGCTTGACCTCCCCACGTAGGGAGGGATGAGGAGGACCGCGTAGATCCTCCTCGGCGCCTCGCGGCCGTCGTCTCTCTACCTCGCTCGCTCAAATCTTCTTGGGTTGGGTCCATTAGTCTCCTTCCTGATATGCGCCTCTTGACAATAACTGATGACAAGGACTGATGCGATCACGACAAAAACCGCGTATGCATGCAATACGTTATGCGTTACGGTCCAACGGAATCGTTCATCTGTGTGGTAATAGGTAGGTACAATGTACAGACTATCCTGAATATTTCAAACTTTGATAAAGTACGAAAACGAAGGAGCTGGGGCGACTGGTCGGCAGTGCTGAATTTGGCTGTCCTGGCTCCTGAGTCCTGAGAGATTATGAACACTGTCGACGCTGCTGGACTGCACAGTTTAAAGATAACGGATCGATGCGGCCAAAAGCGACGAGGGCGCAGTGGCGTCCTTGTGATCGGAAGCGAGATTGTTAGCATCCGAATCACAGCGAGCAAAGGATTCGAGCAAAGGAGCGAAGGAAACTGAGTGCAGGACAAATTGGGGGCGCCGAGGAGACGGCTCTGTGGTCGCACTGCCTCTATGCGAAATACTTGTTCATGAATGAGATCGGAAATGCTATTACGAAACCAAATATTCTTCTTCTCTCTTTCCGTTTCTTTTGGGTGGTGGCCACTAGTGAAATGTCACACTCGGTTCACAGAAGACTAGATTCCTGTCGAACAAGCAAAGCATAACCAAGTGCCAGGAAAATCCACGATGGGCCCGATAGTCTTTTCTTCAAGGCGATTTGCTAGCCCATGTCAGACGAGAAGATGCCGGCCCATCTCGAAGCATAGTACAAACGGACTACAGAGGCAGGACTTTCTTTTTAATCAGAGCTCCATAGCTTAATTTTGGCATTGGCAGGATTAAAATCAGGATACCAAGGAACACTTACAGACCGAGGTGTCTTAGAAGAGCCCATCTCGAAACAAAGTACCACGGACGAAAGTTTTCCTTCCTATAATCGGACATTCGGACCTTCATTGCTTAATTTTACAGGATTACAATCAGAAATTCATAGTACAGATATTTTTGTACAGATCGGGGTTACCCTAACCATGGCACAAGAAGCTTGCTTCGCATACAGATGCGCACCCTTATATTACATGAGCGACTAGCAGAAGAAAGTTTATGATTTATAAAATTCCTGTTGAGCTCCATGGTCACCAAGGATTGCAAGGAGGATCTATTTGTTGGAAAACGCAGACTGTAGCGCAATAAAAACTCAGTTATCAAATCAAACAATAAAATAATAGATCTAATTTAACTATTTCGTCCAAAATTTTAGAGTACCCTTTGTTGCAAACTTAAACTTTGATCACAGGGTTCAGATGGCACGTCCGCAAAGTGGACCAAGCAATCGTGCATACGAGATAAGAGTTGCATTCAGTAATTCACATGGGGAAATGGGTGTCCCAGAATTGCAGCCAACCAATAAATAACGAGATTGTCCACAGTCCACATGACTAAAGATTAAACTAAGAGTCTAAGACACATCTTCAGATCTTCCAAATTAGTGTTCATAAGGTCTATATCTGTTTGTACCTGCACGTGGAGCCAGCTGTTGGTGCAGCATTATTATCATGGTAGGTATGTGGAGAAAGAAAACATGTGTGCATACACGAGACTCTGCTCCAGTAAAATTTGAAGCTGTCATCAAATCTCTGATTGCAAGCGTGCATAAACATATATACACTCTACTACAAGATAGCAGTAAGCAAAGTATGCTTTGCCTCGGTTTCAGTCATCTGTTGCTCATGCAAACAGCCAAGCAATGGCCATAGTAGTATAGCAACCTTCCATGCACTCATCGCACAGATGCTCAATTATCGGGAAATCTTAAATTTCCTTTAAAGAAACTAATGAAATTTTAACAATAAATATAGATCGAGCAACTTGATACAGTTCTGTATCAAAAACAAAAATTTATTGCCATAGAAAGGTTTGCTTCTTTGTAAATGAACAAATGTTTACATAAGAATTAGTACAAACGAGGACTCCAAAATTCACAAGGGCAAAAATAACTAAAATTCAGTAAAAGCTACCTTGAATTATCATAACAGTGAAGTCATTTCTATACAGGCTGCTGGCTGTCACCCTCACAGAATTTGAACTATTGACAATTCCACCCTCAGAATTTAAACCATTGACAATTCATGTATTCACAGGACATAAATCCACCCAATCATCTGTGGAATGAGTTAAGGACACTGCAGAAAAACTGAAAACTACTGTCAACCAAAAACTGGAGCATGAGGGACACTCCACACAAACCAAGCACATTGAACTAGGAAATGGAATGACAGATAACCACAGTTCACATGACACAAAGCAAAATCTCATTGAGTACATCAGTGAACCATGAATATCATCCCCACAATAACAGCAGAAAGAAAGAATCTAATAGGCACCACCAAGAAATTCATAAACGGAATGAGCACCTGTGCAGCAATTCCAGTACCATGGCAACAAATAGACACGTTGAGGCCATCCATATCCCAGAAGGGTAACCGATGAAATCATAGAGCCCAATAACATGTAACATAAAAATTGATGGAACATGTAAACAAAGTTCATAGATCCTATAATAATGAACAGATACATGCATAGTACATAGACACCATAGAATCCATATAGTACACTCTTTAGCACAACCATTGAAAGTAGGCACACGAGCTATAACAGCACAGGTGCCACACTCTTTCTTATCAGAGTTCAGCTTCTTATGACATCCTGCTAGAAGATATTTGAGAAAGCATTCAAAACCTGCAGAAGCAGAGCAAATTCCTCAGCGTCCCCTTTCAAAATTAATGCGGGACCTCCCAGATCCACCATCATAATCATCCCTCATTGAGGACCCACCACTCGCCTTCATGGTTCCTCCACCTCCGATCTTCTCCACAGCTTTCTTACCCTTCTTCACCTCAGTCAAGAACTGATCCAGACCGAATGGATCATTTTCTTCCTGCTTATCGAACTCCACAGGCCTGTCTCGCTTGCCAGTCCTCTCTGAAGCACCAGTAAATCCCTTGTCAGGCTTGAACCTCTCAGTCTTCATAACCTTCTCCAACTGCTCATCTGCATCACCATATACATCTGAATCCCCATCCTTCTTAGGCCTGTATAGTGTGGACATCGTGGACTGCGCTGTGAAGAGACCCTTAGAGTAGATGTTGTACTGATCATCTGTGGCAAAACCAGAGTCCATTCCCTTGTCCTGGTTGAACAGCCGCTGGTCATACATGACCTCACCACCTTTTGCACCACCAGTGCTTGCCATACCAAGAGCAATCTTCTCACTGATATCACGATCCCTGTCTCTAGTGATCTTACTCTTCTTGCCCATTGCGGCATCCTTGGCTTCCAGCCTCCTCTCCCTCTCCCTCTCACGTCTGCGCTCCTCACGGATTCTATCACGTTCAATCCTTGCTTCCCTCTCTTCTCTAGTCTCCCTGCGCTGCTCACGCGGTTCACGTTGTTCACGAGGTTGCTCCATATCCATATCTTCGTCAACAGCCTCAACTGCTCCCCTGCCGCCACCAGCAGGCACACCTGATGGTGCAGGCGGGGCACCAGTCCTCTCCATACGTGCCCTTTGTGCAAGAGCCCTTAGCTCTTGCTCCTTCCTCTCCTTCTCCTTCAGCATAAGTTCCCTCTGAACCTTGGAGCGCATCTGCACTGCCTCCCTCGCCTTCTGCTCTGCCACATACAATGCTTCAGAAAGCTTTGCAAAGTTATCATTGATCTGCACCTCCTGCAGCCCCCTCCCATCAGCCGCCAACCTCTTATCAAGTGGAATCGTGTAACCCTTTGGATTTTTCCAATTTGAAATGCAAGGTGGGATCTTCCAATCCTGCTGATCCTTCACTGTAACCGGCCGTGGCGGCGAGTGCATCACTGGCACAGGTGGTGACCCAGACGCCCGGGGCACACGCTTGTGCTTGAACTTTGGTGGCTCAAGAGGATCCACTGCCATCTCTGACATCCTAATGATCCTCTCCTTTGCACCTGAATTGAAGGCCGCAGATTGCTGGGACGGCTTATACTTGATGAACTTGGACTCAGAATCATGAGTCGGCACATTCTTGGGCTGAGCTGCAGAGAGGCGGACGTTGACAACCTTCTCCAAGGCGGCCTTGGTCCGTTCAGTGGTCTCCTCGATCTTCTTCTGCTCCTCCTCGTCGTCGGACGTCGCCTGGGAATCGGCCGTGGCTATCTTCGGCACGAGGTCGCTATGCTTGGAGTAGACGATCTTTCCTGCGTTCTCCCCTTGCTTGACGACGGCGTCGAAGGCGACGCTGCCGTGCGCGTCGACGGTGAGCGCAAGGATTTTGGACCCGCCCTTATCGTCGCGGCGTCCCATGCCGAGCGGGTACTGCGCGACGTGGATCTCCGGGAAGGCGCCGCCATCCCCGAAATCCTCCGGCCGTCGCGGCACGAACCCCGTCCGCTTTCCGTACGGAGGCACGGGCCGGGCGGCGGCTGCGGGCCTCGCTGTCGCGGCCGCCTGCGCCAACTCCCCGCCGTAACGCTCCTTGAACCAGGGGTCGCTGCTGTGGTCGTAGAAGGTGGACGCCGACGTCTTGGGCGCCGGTAGGAGATCCTTGAGCGTCGCCATGGAGGCGGCCGCGCGCGCGGCGCGTAAGATCTACGGCTAACTAGGGTTCCGGCGAGTAGCCTGGTGGGGATCGGGGGAATCGGCGAGAAGGAGAAGCTAGGGTTTGCTTCTAAATTTGGGGAAAGTGACAAGGGTGGACTAGGACGGTAGGACAAGGGCAAGGCGGCTACTGGCTGGGTTGGGCTGGGCTTTTTGCCGATTCGAAAAGGCCCGTTTCAGAAGGGAAACCGGTAAGCTCACAGCTAGGCCTGCTAATTTCCTAAAAAAAAAAGCTAGGCCTGCTAATGGGGCGGGTCGAAGAAACGGGTTCCCTGGGCTTGCGGGTTGGGTTGGGTTTACAGAGAAGGCTGGTTGGAGTGGGTCGGTGGAAAAAGACCCGTCGCGCAGCCTTCCGTGAGCCGTCATCCCGTGCTCGCCGTGAGTCCGTGACTGTCACAGGCCCCCACAGCTGACGCATTCGCATCACTTTGTTGCCAGGCAAAACGCAGGATAATCCTGCCAAACGCCGTCGCGTTCGCTTCTGCTGACCGCGCGTCGCCCAAAAGCCACCGTTCAGCAGAGATGCGGGACGTGGCTGTCCCCTCGCTTTCCCAAAACGCCAGCTCCTCTCCCCTCCCGTGCGGCCGTGCCCCTGCTGACCCGCTCCGCTGCTAGGGTTAGCGCCGCCGGCGGCGGCTCCCAAGCGTCACCCCGCCCTGGGGCTGCGCCTCCCCGCAGCCGATACACCGACCCACCCCGTGCGCCGCCGGCCCGCGCGCCCGAGGACGGCGGCTACGCCCGCGCCCGCAGGTCAGCCAGCTTTCCTTCTTCAATTCCCCTCTGCAGATGCATATATATCTCGGCTTTCGCAATATTGGCTTTGTGTTATGAACGGATGTAATTATTAACTAATCTGTTGAGTAGCAGTACTAGAATCTGTGGAGATCAAGCAATCATCAATAAAATAAAGTTTCAACCGAGTTGCAGTACACATCGATGGACATGATTTTTCTCATTGTGCAGCATGTAGATTAATATTAATATCTCTATATGCCAACACGTTTTCATCTTCATATATGCCCATTGATATTTGTAGATGGAAAAGCCTCCAAAGGTTCAGGCAAAATGGGATGCTTTTGCTGCCAAAGTTTTCAACGACATTTGTGTGGAAGAAGTCCTCGCCAACAATAGACCACAACAGTGCTTGAATCATGTAGGGTATGCTAATCTTTTAAGGAAGTTCCATGATCGTACTAAGAGGCCATATACAAAAGAGCAAATAAAAAACAGGTGGGATGCACTAAGAAAGAAATATAACCAAGGGAAGACTCTGAACATTAGAGCTGCGGGATTGGGGAGGGATCCTGTGACTGAATGTATCTCAGCTGGTGCGGATTGGTGGGCGGAACAAAATGCGGTGAGATGTAGTAATTGGCTCTTGTTTTGAGTATACATACAAGTAGTCATTTTTCATGAATTTGGTCTAATGAATGTTTTTTTGTGTTTCTTTCAGGCTATACCAGGTTGTATAATTTTTGAAACTTCACCACTTGAGCATGAGGACCAGATGCAAATCATGTTTGAATCTATTAGAAGTGGTGATGGTGAGGGTGAGGTTCAGAGTGGTGGTGGGGGGGGGGGTGACACACCAAAGCTTAGATCCACTGCAGGTAAGCGGGTTGAGAAAAAAGGGCAGCTCATTATTCTCCCAAGGGAAACAATAAGAAGAAAAAATTTAGAGATCAAGATGAGATGAAGGCCCCAAGTAAAAATTCAGCAACTTCACAAGTGGTTGATCATGTTAGAGAAGAGATTGCTAATATGTTGTCTCAAGTCATTGAGGATGGGGCGGAAGAAGGGAGTGATGAACACTACTATGCCACACACCTTCTTATGAAGAAAGAGTATCGTGATGTGTTCATTACTTTGAAGACACCAAATGGGAGATTGAATTGGCTGAGGAGGGCATGGAAGGATAGGTAGTGGTGTTGTCCAATTAAATAGTGTTGTGCACAGGTGTCCGGTCCTTACTTTGTATCTGTTATCAGTATGTAATGTAATGTTGCTTTAGCTTTTAATGTTGCTTTAGCTTTACCATGTATGGCTATATGGATTGCCTTAGTACAAATGTCTTCTTTATTTACTTTTGTTGGATCGTGTGGCAGATGATGATGAGTATGTCTAGTGCTTCAAGCGATACTGAAGCATGGTTGCATATATTGCTTTCATATTTTATGGGCTCTACTCGTATGAAGAAGGCAGGTCCTAGGAAAACTCCTGTCATGACTCGAATCCAGTGGACTGAGATCCAAACACAAGATCAAGTGAAGTAATATAGCATGTTCAAAATGAGAAGCCCATTTTCCTACATCTTCATGACACCCTAGGACATGATCATGGCTTGAGATCAAGTAGAGGAATCTGTATCAAGGAAGCCTTAGGAATGTTTTTTGGGTACGTGGTGCACCTCAAACCTAAATGTCAGTCAAATGAAAAATCCAGTTCACTAGAACTTGTTAAGCCCTTTTCATCTCCATGCTATCACCATTATCATGTTATGATCTTCATTTGCTTCTCTACTTGAAGTGTGCTACCTATCTCATGATCACTTGATGAACTAGGTTAGCACTTAGGGTTTCATCAATTTACCAAAACCAAAATCTCAATAGTGTTGTGTGACTTGATTGGCAATTGACAATGTTTTTAGCTTTTAATGTTGCTTTAGCTTTACCATGTATGGCTATATGGATTGCCTTGGTTGTCTTTTTATTTACTTTTGTTGGATCGTGTGGCAGATGATGATGGGTGCTTCTTGCATATATTGCTTTCATATTTTAGTACTATGATCTCCAAGTTTACATGAACAAAACATATGATTAACGACAACATAAAATTGGCGCACCTCAATCTCAGTCAAGTGAAGAATCCACTCACTAGAACTTGTTAGCAGGAAGTTTGTAGAGGGTTGGATAATTGACTTTTTGTTGATGGTTGTCTCTTTGGGTCTTGAGTACTATGCTCCAAGTTTACATAACTCTACAACTCGGCTCGTTTACGAACTCTCGCAAGCCAGGCAACAAAAAACACACAAAACATAATTTGTACATTTATCTAAACTTTAGAAACAATAATAATGCAAAAACAACTCATCCATAAGTCTTAAATCAAACAAATAAATTAAACCACACTAACATATATAAACGCGACAATACACTAAAGTACTACACCATACATCCATGGTTCATATTCCATATATCATACCATATATGATGCATCCATTAATGATTATCCATATATCCATTTAAACCAAAGTGATAGTGTCATAGTAAGTCTAGGTCTTCAAGGTCTAGGTCCAACCATCGATCAACTACAAAGTGCAAGGCATCAAGTCATACAGAAACTTTGGCTCGTTAAGCTCTCGAGGCAGCTCGTGAGCTGGCTCGTTAACTACACGAGTTGAAATGTCTATTCAACTTATTGAAAAATGTAAACGGTCCGAGTCAAGTCGACCCACTAATGAGTCGAGTCGAGCGAGCTGTCAAGATGCTAGCTTTTCGTCCAACCCTACTATTTGGTCACGGAATTTGGAGTGAAGTCTCAGGAAATATTCAGCATCGTTGATCACTAGGTAAAATAGTGTCGATATACTCCATTGCACTGAGATGAGAAGGGCAGGTTTGGTGTAGTGGTGAGAGCTGGCTCACTGAGTCACCAGGTCATGGGTTTGAAGCAGCCTCTCCACAGATTTTACGAGAGGGGGAGGTTTGCCTTGGTTTTTTCCTTCCCTGGACCCCACTCATATGGAAGCCTCCGGCACTAGGTCTGCCCTATACTCCATTGCACTGAGATGTTAATGGTCAAGGACACACGATTGCAAGCCAAAGAGACATCATAGTCTTGCAACACGTAAGCAGACAAGTGATAGGACTTATAAAGCACATCTTAGCAGTGATGACAGTAAAAAAACATCTTAACAATGATCAACTTTCTAATCTAATCTCACGAGCCTGATCACTTTGTTGTATATGTCATTATAGCCTGTTAACATGGGGCTACTGGTTTAAACCGTGAACCTTGTCACGTTTATCTGTTGTACAAATGGCTCATCCAAACATACTGTATAGCTCATCTCTAGCTCGTTACTTTTGTAGACTGCACCAGACTCCAAAGCACTATGCATTGACAACTGTAGAGGTCACAATAGAGTCAGAGTTAGCGTAGGCTGCCATCTCTATACAACACTTACTGACAGTAAACATCTCTGACGACTTCAGTTGCACCACTCACATGTCTCAGGCAGTTTTCATGAATCAATTGAAAACTAAGTCTCAAGCAGTTCTCATGAATAAATTGGAAACTAAGTATCTGTTGATACTACTCTCTCAAGTTAACCCTGTCTGACTGTGTGTGTCTGCCTGCCTTGTGAACAACGAGTATATGCACTGAATTCTTTCAAGAAGCGTGCCTTGCATCTCGCACATGCATTAGCCTTTTCCTTGCCTCTTCTAAACATCACTGAACTTAATCAGGCCCAAGTGTTGCAACTTCCAGTGGTAGCTAGTTAAGCTTTTGGCTAAAGCCCCCATTCAACTTTGTTTGCACCAAACATTCACTGAAGAGACTGGTGCTGAACTAAACCAACTCCCTACATTGCAATTGCCAGAACTGAATTGGTCTAGATGCATGTGTGTTTTGGATCTTCTTTTGTTGTGCTTGGAGGTAGCCCCTTCTCTTAGAAAAACCTAGAGCTAAATAGGAAGACCTTTCCCTTTCCCTGAACCAATCTGGCCCAGCCACAACCGTTGCCTTGCTGCAGCCTAGCTCGGCAGCAGCTGTGCTCGGCCTCAACCCCACCAAGCCGAGCGGCCATGAGCGACTCCATCCCGTTGGCCCAACTGAGCACTAGCGAGCCCAGCCTCCTTTCCTTGGTGTAGGCCCAGCACGAGCACAGCCAAGCCCAGCTCCCCTCTCCGCCTCATGTGAGCGGCACACGTGCACGAAGAAGCCACCGCCGCTGCATGCTCCTGTATGGCCGTCACCATGCCGGCCCCACCTGCCAGCGTCGGGGAAAGCTAGAAGACCACACCTCCATTTCCCTTCCGTCGCGTCGTCGTCCCCTTCTATCTCTCGACCGTGCTCCCCTGCTTTTCCGTCCAAAGTAGAGCAGCTCGCCAGCCAAATCGCTACGCCTCAGATGCCCCTCACGCCCACGTCATCAGAGTCCCACGTTGCGCCAAGCCATGACCCGCGACGCAAATTGTGGACGAGCGCCTTGACCGCACCCAGACCAACGTCGCGACCCCTCTAGAGCCCTCTAGAAGCTTCCCGACCCCTCACCTACCCGTGCCATGGATGATGGCTGCGTGTCTGCGAGCACATGACCCCGACGATCGCTGCCGCCCCCTGGACGCTCCCTACCCTCGTGAACCCTAGCGAACCGCCTATAAGAGCCAAGCCAAGCCCTCGCCCTCGCCATCTCCCTCCTGTCCGCCACCACAGAGCCCCTTCTTCCTCTCTGCCTTCTCCTCCTGTCCAAGGATGCCATGGCCAAGACGCCTTGAGGCCACGGCACCGCCACAGAGCTCTGGGTTTGCACCGATGTAGGGTCGAGATGGCAGACTAGAGGGGGATGAATAGTCCTTTCTAAAACTTAATCGCGTCGGCTAACTGAAATAAATACGGAATAAAAACTATCGGTCTAGTCAAGACTACACCCCTCTATCTAAGTTCATAAGCACCTTATAAAGATCCTAATTAGGCAACAAAGGTACCGAGCTAGCTAGAGCTCATCTAATCAATTCTATAGCAAGGTCACACAAACCTATGCAACACAAACCTATACACTAGTACTTTGTCAACCGAGGAGCTCCTACACATGCTAGTGATGCAAAAGCACAAAGCTCCTAAGCTCACTAGCAATGCTCAATAACAAGGCTACAAGGCCAAATTAGAGAGTGCAAATCATTTAGCTATATAAACTAAGCAATGTGCCTAACAAGGTTACACAAACCAAATTAGTCACACAAGGGAGCTACTTCTATGCTACACAAGCAAGAAGGTAATTAGCAAGCTACATAAGCTAACTACTTACAAGAGCAACTACATAAGCATAATGAATGTGAAAGTAATTATAAACTTGTGTAAGGGAATTGCAAACCAACGGGAAGACAAGGATGACACGGTGATTTTATCCCGAGGTTCACGTGCTTGCCAACACGCTAGTCCCCGTTGAGACAAGCTCCAAGGCTGTCGCCGGTCCTCTTGCTAGTGGTGACCCACAAGTCATACTCTCCCACGTGGAGTGCTTAAGCTCTAGCACTTGACCCAACCGGACCACTTGTCGCCCTTTGCGTCTCGCTCTATTAGAGTTGCTCTTCGTGGCTCCATGGGGTGAGCACAATCCCCTCACAATATCTTCTCTCGGAGCACCGCACAATCTTCTTTGCGTGCTTCGACAGAGACCACCACCAAGCCATCTAGGAGGTGGCAACCTCCAAAAGTAACAAGCACCACCGGCTTGCAACTCGATCACCTAGTGCCACTCGATGCAATCTCACAATACAACGCACTAGGATCACTCGCTCGCAATGGATTCGCACTTCTTGCAAACACAAGTGAGTTAGAGGCTTCTCAAACCAAGCACACACATGGGCAACACATCCCCAAGGTGCTCAACTAGCCAAATGTCCAAGCTCCACCTCTATTTATAGCCCCAAGCCAAATAGAGCCGTTGGAGCAAAGTTGCACTTTCTGTGAGGGCACCGGACACGACGATGTGGTCACTGGACATGGGGTGGCAGTGCCCCCCAACCGTCGAATCCAACGGCTAGTTTGACTAGCCGTGGTCATCGGACAGGCGGCGGTGGCCTGGACAGGGGTGGAGGTGCCACCCCCGCCAACACCCAGAAACTCTTCTCTCTAGAAAATAGGGCGGTGCACCGCCGTCACCATGGCGGTGACCGTGGCGGTGACCCCCTCGCCTC